CCAGGCCGTCCGACTGGCCGCCCTCGCCCGGCCTCCCAGGAACCGCGCGCTGGATGTGCTTCGGGGCGTTGCCGGCAGATGACGGTGCCGCGTCCGTGAAGCGGGGCGCGCAGGAAGGCTGGGTGGCCCACGGGGCGGAGTGAGGCCGGAGGGCGCGGAGGAAGGGCAGTGCCGCGGCCTCGGGGTGGGAGGGCGCGCCTGGGGAGGGGTTGGAGCCGCCGGAACGGGAGACTGTGGCAGGACCTAGTGTGTGCGACAGTAACGGTGTGCGTGGTTGTGTGTGAGCGTGACCGAGTGACCGCGATGGGATGCGCGACGGCAGTGTGTGTGCCATGGCGACGTTGGTGCTTGTGTGTGATGATTACGACGCGCGTGGTGTTGTCCGTGTGATTGCCATGAAGGTCTGTGGTTAGGCTTTCGTGATAGGCATGATGGGTCGTGCCGTACTTGCGTTGACTGCTGTGTGGCGTTTGTCATAGTCGATACCTGCTTGAAAATATTTTCTGTAATATTTAGTTTCACGTGCTCCTCCCTCCCCACTGGCCACTCCTTTTAGTCTACTTTGCTGCCTTTTTCCCCCCAGAAGTTATTGGCCCTGTTCTCTTGCTTTCCAGTTTTCCTTGCTGATCTTTTCCAGATTCACTATATTATCATCTGATGGCTTTTATGATATGTATTGGTTAGCTTTTGCCATAATAATGCTGCCTAACAAACCACCCCTAAACTCAGTGGCTACAACGCCCATAAACAAAAGGTTCCAAGTCCATCCCTTCCCATTCCTTGTTCCCACTCCCCAGAGGTGACCACTTTAATCACTTTTTTCTGGATATTCGGATACACTTTAACTCTTCGGAATAACAGTCTCATACTGCTAATGTTTAATTGCTCAGTTTTAGATATTACCTATTGACTTAAGTCTTTATGGTATTATTATGTACTTAAGATAAGCTTTCTATTAAGAATAAAATAGCAGGATCCTAGAGAAATACTATTTTGTCAATTGGGCACCGCATACTTAGCCCTCCAGAAATTCCCATCCGACTTTCTATGATCAAATTAGTCACCCACGTACACTTCAATGTCCTATAGTCTGGTGGTGATTAACATTTTCAGTACTCTGATCTTATAGCAACCTGGTGCTGAAGATTTCTATACTCCTTTGTCTGGAATTTTGAAGTAAATCTGTTTTTTCCTTCCCTCAGCTTGGTGTTCTTGGGATTCAGCCCTTTTTAAGGAAGAAGAGGATATGACCAAGTCTCTTGTATGTTTTAAGCACTTATGAGGAAAAATACAGAAAGATATCAAAACAAGGAGAAATTTGGGATATGGCTATGCAGAAACAGGTCTATACAGAATTGTCAAAGTTGAGGTCAAATTTGAATAAGATCTGGAGAAGCAAATGTAAACTGAGACACAAAGTCCATTTTATAATTTGCACTGTTTATGAGGAAAAACTTAAAGAGCTTTTTATTGGCACCTAAGTAAAAAGGAAATTCCAAAATAATCCCATAATTCTTATAATTTTAAGATCAACTTTTTAAATGTCTGATTTGGCCAAAGATTAAAAGCTAAAATTACCTGGAAGGATAAATGGAACAAGTCTTTCAAATGATCCTACATATATATTTTCTTCAGTTGAGGTTTTTACAACTCAAGCTAAAATACATACTAATATTCTGAGGCTGGTATGCACAGCTCTCTACATCATTTTTTATGTTCTCAGAAGATGTGTTCTTTGTCTTCTTACAAAATGATCATCCTCATCTCTTGATTCTTTTTCCAATTGTGGAATCTCTTCACACTCCTATATATTAAACATTTTCTACTTCACTGCTTTTTGGCACAGCCTGAAACATACTTTTGCCCATATCATGAAGCTCATGCAGTTATTTCTCCTGTTGGCAGAATGGTTCTCTGGGCCTAGACAGACTTGGGTTCAGATCTCGGCTTAGCAAATTACTAAGCGCATGATTATGGGCATATTTCTTAACCTCTTTGGCCTCAGTTACATCATGTATAAATGGGGATAATCATCGTACTTATCCCATAGTAATGCACATAGGAAGTGCTCCATAAATAATAAGTATCATTGATAATCATTTTCTACATACATCTTTTCTACCTGAAAAGGTCTTTGGATATGTTCGCTTTATTCATTCACCTGCCTTTTTAGTTTAAGATATGAAACCAATGAGATATGAGATGTCTGATTTGGGTTTGTAAAATGAATTTCTCTTCAGTAAAACCACCATAAGCCCTGTAACAAGGCAAAACAGAGACTCGTTTTTGTACTACATAAAATAGAATATACTAATGATTCTTTTTAAAACCAATAGTTTAGAAAATTGGGTGAAGAACATAAAGAAGCAGTTGGAAGAAATTTAAGTGGCCAATAAATACTTAAAAATAGTAATGTGAAATAAACTTCATTCAGATTTGCAGCTATATATTTAGATGTATTTGAATTGGTGGTAATACACACTTTTTAATGAACTCTGATCCCCGGATAATAGCTAAATGAGTTCTTACATGTTTTGACCGTTGTGTCTAATTTCGATGACATCATATTAATCAGGGTTGCGTTTTTACAGGAAACAGTGACATTTAAAGATGTGGCTGTGGACCTCACCCAAGAGGAATGGCAGCAAATGAAACCTGCTCAGAAGAACTTGTACAGGGATGTAATGCTGGAGAACTATAGCAACCTGGTCACAGTGGGTAAGGGCAGCTTTGCAATTTTACATGGAATTCCTTTCTGTTTTTGAAATGTGTGATGACTTTAACTTGCCAGATGAATCTAGGCTTTCTTCTCTTCACGTTGTATGTGTCTTTAAGCTAAAGGCTAATTACCTTGTCTCACTGTGAAAGTTCCTCCATCCTCAGCCTTCATAGTCTTTATGCCCCTGAGACGCAGCCCAGCATGAACTGATTGTCGTCTTTAGCATCAACATCCAAATCCTTTGCTGTTTCTCATAATAGGCTATCAAGTCACCAAACCAGATGTGATCTTCAAGTTGGAGCAGAGAGAGGAGCCGTGGGTGATAGAGGAAGAAATGTTTGGGAGACACTGCCCAGGTGAATAAGTGAAAAGGCAGCTCTAAATGAGAAAGCCACATGACAGTTGTTAGGAGGGTTGATAACACTTCATATTTTCCAGTTTTTAAAGGCTATAGTCTTCTAGAGTGACAAATGGTATGAATGAATTGGATTGCTGTGACATTTTCAGATACTATTTTCTTCCTAGATTGGAGCTATCTTCCTTTTTCAAATTTAGAAGGCCAGTAGCCTCATCTGATTTTAGGATGCCAGCCTTCCCTGATTCATTCACATCCCTGCGTTCAGGATTATGATCCCGCTCTGTGACCCTTAAACTCTCTTCCTTTGTGTTTATAGCTTTATTTTCTTATGCATTCAGTATTTCATGGATGCGTCATTTTAAAACGTTTGTTTCGCACTTAGATTCTTTTAAATTTCTTTCCATTTTGAAGAGCCTCAGATGTGTGTTTTGTAACAGCACTCACACTTTCCATTGTACGTCACAATCCCATGTAGCTTTAAAAGTTTCTGGCTTAGAAATTGAGGCCTCCTTCCTGCTTATTCTCACCTTCCATTCAGTTTTTTAAAAAAATATATGTACACTTGGCTACAAATATAAATAGTCCAAGAAGTAATTGAAAAGTGAATCTCCTACTTGTCCTTGAAAATCAATTCCTTTCTTTATTTGTTGTGTATACTTCTTTTTCAGAGTTGTGCTGGCTATTCTTGATTATTGTTTTATCATATGAATTTTAGATTCAACTCTAATGTTTCCGGAGAAAAACCTGTTAGACTCTCAATTGGGAATGTGTTAGATATATAAGCTAACTTTCAGAGATTTAACATCTTTATAATGTGGAGGTTTGGCATCTTAATAATGTTGAAGAATATGCTCTGCCTTTATACAGATCTGTCTACTTTTGTGTCCTTTAGGAATACTTTCCAAGTTTTCCCTTTATAGCTTTTGTACATTTTTGATTAAGTTTATACCTATGTATTAGACAAGAGAAAAAAATCAGCACTGTAAGAATTGGAAAAGGACCTATAAAACGATCTTTATGTAAAGATTAAGATTATATCCCTCAAAAACAAGAGAATCAACAGAAAAATTACAACTAATAGTAAAAGAAGCCAATGAGATGATAGAATATCAAGTTAATAAAAGTCAGTAGCTTTCATATATACTTCAGTAGTCAAGTAAAATATATAAAGTAAAGGAAACCACATTTATAGTCATAACAGTACAGATAAAATACTGTTCTGGGCATGGGCACCTAACAGTGTACAAAGAAAGTCCTGTCCTCACAGAGCTTATGATTTAGTGGGAACTAGAGTCCTTGAGGTTTTGCACATAAGAAAATATCTTTTAACTTTTATATTTAGTTGATATTTAGCTGTGTCTAAAATTCTTGAGCCATAATTTCTTTCCTCGGTGTTTTCGTAGACAGTGCCCTGAAGCCTTAAACAATCAGCTTTGATGTTGCTTGGAGAAACTGGAAGCCTGGTTGTTTACTTTCATAACTGGGCAACTTGGTTTGTTCGCCTTGGATGCCCGAAGGTTTCTCTTTCTAAAGCTTTAGAACTGTATGAGGCCTATTGATCAGTATCCATTTTTCCTGTTAATGTATATTTATATTTTTTGGTTCTTAAGAGCATCATTGTAGAGATCTGATGCTGCTTCCTTTTACAGTTATCTTTACTCATCTTTGAATTAGGTTATTTCTTGCCAGACCCACTACTTACAAGAGTATTGTAGATGCCCAGTAAACTGCTCTGACGTAGTCGGAAGACTTCGTCGCTCGCATTGACCTCCTTTATCATATAAAATTTTGTGTGGAGAATTGGTTTGCCTTTACTCTTGAATCAGAAGTTACCATTTTCGTTCCTCACTTCTACCCTCCTATACCAACAGATTGCTTGTATAAGAATAC